TCATCTGTGACCCATTAGTTGTTCAGGAGGGTGTTGTTTAATTTCCATGTGTTTATAAAGTTGAGAGAGAGATTGAGAGAAAATCAATGAGGAATTGATTTCCAATTTATTGCACTATGATCTGATAATATGCATGGGATAATTTTAATTCCTTTGCATTTACTTAAGCATGTTCTGTGTGCTAGTATGTGCTCTACTTTGGAGAACATCCCATGTGCAGCTGAGAAGAATGTGTATTCTGATGCGGGGTGGAACACTCTGTAGACATCTACTAAGTCCATTTGTTCAAAAGTTTGGTTCTGTTCTAATATTTAATTTTTTTTTTTTTGTACTGGGGATTGCACTCTGGACCTTGCACTTGCGAGGCAGGTGGAGGAACCACTGAGCTAAATCCCCAGCCTTAATTGTGGGTATTTTGGTCTAGTTGATCTGTCTATTTGTGGTAGTGGGTTATTGAGGTCCCCCATTACAATTGCATTAGTGCTTCTTTGATTTTTCATGTTTATTAGTATTTGTTTTATATAGTTGGGTGCACTGGTATTTGGTGCATATATATTTATGATTGTTATGTCTTCCTCTTGGATTGTTCCCTTTTCAAGGATGTAGTGTCCTTCTTTGTCTCTCTTAATAAGTCTTGGCTTGAAATCTACTTTGTAAATAGAATAGCTACCTTTGCTTTTTTCTGGGCTCCTGTTCCATGCAGTATTGTTTTCCATCCTTTGACTTTCAGTTTGTGAATTTCTTTTTGAATTAAATGTGTTTCTTATATGCAGCATATTGTTAGAGCTTGCTTCTTGATCCATTCTGCCAGTCTTTTTCTTTTTTGTTTTTGTTTTTTTTGAACTGGGGATCCAATTCACATCCTTCTGCTTTCGAGGCAGGCGGTGGAACCACTGAGCTAAATCCCTGGCCTTCCAGTCTTTTACTTTTGATTGGCGACCTGAGACCATTAACATTGATTGTTATAACTGATATGTCTTGTCTTATCTTATCTCTGTCATGTTATGTTCCTGCTGTCGGCTTCCTTCTTTCCTTTTCTGTTTAATTTCTTGTTTTCTTTGTGGATTCATTCTGTTATGGTTCATGGAGTTGTAATCCTTGTATCTATTTCTAGAATATCCTTCAGAACACTTTGGAGTGCTAGTTTGGTGGTAGTGAATTTTTTCAGGTGTTCTTTGTCATGGAAGTATCTTATTTCTCCATCAATTTTGGAAGATAGTTTTGTGGAGTACATCAATCTGGGTTGGAGGTTATTTTCTTTTAGGGCTTGAAATACTTCACTCCAAGCTCTGTTTGACTTGAAGTTTTGTGTTGAGAAGTCTGCTGTGATTCTGATGGGCTTTCCTTTATAGGTGATTTGTTTCTTTTCTCTAACAGCTTTTAATATTCTGTTCTTGTGTTGGATTTCTGGAATCTTGACTATTATATGCCTTGGTGAAGTTTTGTTTTTTATCATGGCTAATTGGAGTCCCATATGCCTCGCTTATCTGTACGTCAAATTCTTTTCCCCTGTTTGGGAAGTTTTCTGCTATTACTTCTGTGAACAGGTTTTTAAAATGTCATTTGTGCTCTCTCTTAAGAGCTTGTCTCAAAAAAAAAAAAAAACTTGTCTCAAAAGAAAAATAAAAAGGGCTGGGATGTAGTTCAGTGGTAGGGGCCCCTGGGTTCAAGAATAAATTAAAAGAACATTTTGTTTTTGGTTTTTGTTTTTGGTACTGGGGATTGAACCTGGGACCTTACGCTTGTGAGACAAGTGGCGGAACCACTGAGCTAAATCTCTGGCCTCCATTTTGTTTGTTTTGAGACGGTATCACTATGTAGTCCAGGCTGGCTGCCAGTTTGCAATACTTCTGCCTCGGCCTCCCATGGGCTGAGATTAGAGACATGCACCACCAAGCCCAGCCAAAAGAAAGAAATTGAAAGGAAGCCTTTACTAAACTGCCCCAGAAGAGAGAACAAGGTAAATTTCCCCTCTGGAAATATCAGGGACAAATGCTGTATAATTGTTGTATAGTCAGATGGATTTACTGACCTACTTTGTCTCAGGCCTTGTGCAAGGAGTAGCTGCATAAATGGTGGAAATCCTGGTTCCTAACCCCAAGGAGCCCTGGATTTGGTGGGACAATAGTTCTAATCTTTTCATCTTGTATTCCTATCTCTTATATAACAGTTTGAAAAAAGACCTTGAAAAGCATGTATTATGATTTAAATTATGTTGATGGTGTGTCTATGCATTTCACACTTTGCCTTCTCTGGCCTTTCCTGTTTTATTTGAACGTACAAGTCACTTCATATCGTGCAGATCCGACAGCTTATTTATTGGCACCCATTGCCTAACTTTGACAACTCAGTGCTGTGTAGCTCAGTGGTTGAGTGTGTACCTAGCATGAGTTGAGGCTTTGGGTTTCATCCCCAGTACCTCGAAATCAAGACAAATTCAGTTTTTCTTTAATCACATCTGGTGGTGAGTTGTTACTAGAAAATTGCATGAAAATAAATCCCAGCCTTGGCTTACATTAAAAACATTTCTCAGGCCAGGGATTTAGCTCAGTGGTTCTGGCGCCTGCCTTGCAAGAGCAAGGACCCAAGTTCGATCCCCGGTACCAAAAAAAAAAAAAAATTTCTTTCCTGCTTTACTGTTAATTAATTTTCATGCATATGAGAAGTAATTAATTTTTAAAAATTTATTTAACTTTGTTAGTACATATTTGAGGCATATAACGACCACATTTATCACTGGGGACTTGTTCGTGTACATAACACATCTTAATTAATTTTTTGTCCCCTTCCCCTCTACTCCCTCCAACCCTTCTTCCTCTCCTCATTTACAAAAGCTCTATTTCCACTTTTTCCCTTCAATTCTTCTGTTTTTCTTTAAATCCCTTTCCCCTTCCTTCCCTCCTCTTCCCCTCATCTCTTGTTCTCTTCCCATTTGAAAAGTTCTTCCTACTTAGTATCTATGAGAGAGGTGATTGATTTTCACAGAAAGAGTAAACCACTGGGTCAGTTTTTATTTTGAGCTTCTTAAGGAATGTTAGCAGTCTGAATTTGAAAAACAATCGCCTTTTAGACAGGAAGAAAGCTTACTGGGTCTGTCATGTCTTTATTCCTTTGGTGTCTCCCGAAGGTATAGTAATGATTTCTGCAAATTGTTGTATGAATTCTGTCTACAAGCGAGTGTCCAGCTGCTCCGCCTGTTTGAGGGCTTGCCCTTCTGTAAGCCCGTGCATCTGTCTAAAGCTGTAGAGCACCCATGATCCACTGTCCTTGTGGAGGGTGCAGCCTTGTGGTGTGGTTTCTCTTGGCCAGGTGAGGAGGACAGGCAGTGTTAGAAAGAGTCCCCTCTCGAGGGTGTGCTGGCCAGCCCTGCAAGGTACCCCTTCCCGCAAGATGCAGTGGAGATGGTTAGTGAGACCTTCACCTGTGCATTTGTCCCAGTCTGAGAAGGCAGTTGGTTTTTCTGCTTCTCACTGCTACAGTAGGGACAGCAAGTTCTACCCCTGGGGATAAGGGAGGTGGAAGTGAAGTCAGCAGGAAAATATCCGTGGTGCATTGTGCTGGGTGCTGTGCCAGGGAAAGGCCCAAGGAGCGCGCTGCACTTCTTTCCCCAAGGCAGGAAAGTTTTCCCTAGAGAAGTAGAAGCTTATTTCCAGAGTTTATTGGTGGCCCAGAGAAGGTGCTGAGAGACCAGCAGATGTTTTTGATCTTGGGGAGCAAATGATTGATAGAAATTCCTTTCCTGTGTTGTTCTGTGCAATCATACAGAAAGCTGTAGGACAGCAGAGACAATTTGAATTCTGACGCCATTTTTGTCTTAAATGCATGTAACATTACAAGTGAAATGATAAAAGCAGTGTTGTTTTAAAATTTCAATAGTCAAAGGATAGGGTCAGTTTCATAGTTAAAAAAACCCCATAAAATATTAAACGTGAAAGGAACTTGTCCATCATCCAAATCCACACTTTTTACAAGTCAAAACTAAGATGCAGATAGAGGCTGGGGTATAGGTCAGTGATAAAGCATTTGCCCAGCATGCATGAGGCTGTGGCTTTGAACCCCAGCACCATCAAATAATAAATACATAAATTAAATAAATAAATATGAAAAATGTGTCAGAGATAATGTGTCTTTTTAAGAGCGGTGGCTGCTCCAGGGGTAGCCTGTGTGTCTGTTACCATGAACTGCATCTCCTGGAGTGCTCACGTGAGGATACAGCCTCAGAAGAAACCATTTGTAGATACGGTTTCAGGACAAATCCTCAAGATTTCTTCCAGGACCACTGAAATTCCTATGTAAACTCTGAACCTAAGATTTTGCTGGCACCCTAATTGTGGTCTCCAAGCCTCCAGGACAGTGAAAATAAATGTTTCTACATCCATCTAGTGATTGTCACCCAAGGCAACAAAAACTAAGGCCCACTTGGTATTAGGTAGGAAAATGAATCCTAAAGCCACCCTTAGGCAGCAGCACTTGTGTGTGTGTGTGTGTGTGTGTGTGTGTGTGTTTGGCAGTGGAATTGAGTCAGAGACCTTGCCCTATCACTGAGCTCTATCCTCAGCCCCTTTTCTATTTTAATCAGAAAGGAGTTGCCACGAATTTGCCTTGAGCTTGGATCCCCCTCCTTATCCTCCAGAGTAGCTGGAATTGCAGGAGTGTCCTACTGAGCATGGCTGACATTTCGTTATTAATAGGTTTGTGTAATATTTTGTTCTTCATCTCTGTTATGTATGGAAAGTAACAGAAGAAACGTGAAGATTTTTATACTTTGACATCTCTAGGCCCAAGAGATGGGTTACTGCGATGTTTTGGCCAAAGCAGCCTTTGATTCTATCTGCCTCAGAGTAAACACAAATCCTGAGCAATGGGTTAAGGGCCCAGGATTGTGGCTGTGGTCTTTCCCTATTGTGGCTCTGAGTGTCTCATGCCACCACCAACCCCTTCCACCAAGACTTTCTCCTCCTTCATTTTAAGGAGAAATGGATGAAGATCTCTGTTGTTTTTAGGAGTCACCAAGATGCCAGAAGCAGCCTGGTGCCCCAGGACCATGACAATTGCTTTCTGCACGCCCCAAACACTGTCAACTGGAGTCGCCCTCCTCAGTGACTGGATCTGCACTGCTGCTTGCTCAGGCCCTGGAAGATCACCCCAAAGCATGCCACCTTGGTTGTGCTGCTGTTTTGTAAACCTGGAGACGTGAGTTAGTGACAGAACAGGATGAAATCCCTGAAATGGATAAAGTCAAGATTGAAGAAAACCTGGGCAGCAGGAGAGAAGGGAGAGAAGCAGCACACTTTCTCTTCAGGAAGCACCATGCTACCTGCAAGTTGCTGAGAATGCATTTCAGTCCTCTGCACAGCCTGGCTCCTTTCAACCTGCATAGAGAAGATGTGCTGGAGGAAGCAGACACAGAGAACAAGAACCTTCCTCTTATTAAAAACAATAAAACTGTAAAACTATAGAAGTGAGGCCATTACACTGCTTAGTGTGCTTAGTGCACTGAGTTGTGCTAATCACTGAGGGTTTATTCAGGTTGGGTTTCCTTGGAGGTGGGAAGACTTTTCTCGGTTGGGGTTGATGGTGGGCTGCTGACCATCACTCTCCTCCCCAGACATGCGAGGACTCTTTTCCAGAGCGAGTGAAAGGCCTGCCTCCAGTTCACATAGGTTGTGGTTTGTGTGTCAGATCCAGTGTCGTCCTCCTCTGCCTCCACAGAGGAGACCGAGGAGGACCCCTCAGTGCTGGTCTTCAGCATCTGCAGAGAAAAGGAGGATGAGTTAGACAAGTCTAACCTCCCAGCAGTGCAGCCAGTGTTTACTCACTTATGGAACTCAGTTCCTTTTACTAGCAGTAGCCCAACTGTAAATGGCCAGTTTCAAAGTCAACACTGAAGCAGAGACCCTCCAAAAACTTTTTTTTGTTATTGTTTGTTTGTGGGCATAATGATTTGCCTTTGTCTTTCTTTCTACCCTCCATCTCTCTTTCAGTGCTTCTTGGTGTTTTCCCTACATCTCCTCTCTGACTCCTTTTTTTCCTGTCTTCCTCCCCCTGCAGATCCTGTCAGACACCTGGAGTCCAGCCCTACTTCACAGAAGGCAGTGTTGACCCAACACTGTCTAACCTAGCACGTATCCTGGTCCTGTCCACCCTCTCCTGGGAGGCAGCTCTGTGCTCACCTCAGCTGGTTCATCTTTTGGGAGCATCGCTGGCATCTCTGGGACTTGGGTGACTTCTGTATTTTCTGGTGGTTTACAGGCAGGCAGGTCCTCACATGTACACTGTTCTTCACACAGGACCTGAGCTGGATGAGGAGGGGATCTGCTGCCCAGCTGGAAGTTTTCCTCGGGTGGATCTTGGAGCTGGAGGGCATTGTCTTTGTCATAGCCATGGCTTTGTTTATCAGCATCCTGAGGTTCTTCATTGATTTGTATTTCTTCCTTCTCCTTGTGGCTCTCACTGTTCTCTTTTCCATTGTCCTCATTGGAATCAGGTAGCCTGGTGTCATCAGATCTTTCATACACCTGGATTTGTGCATAAAGCTCCACATACTCTTTTTTATTACTCTCCATGTCTTTGTTGTTCTTGATCTCCATGTCCTTTTTTTCTTGTTCAGTTGATCCCATTAGCATGCCTTCATCTTGGTTTTCACCATTTTCAATTTGTTTATCAGCTTCCTTATCCTCATCCTCACTGCTTTTGCTTTTCTCCTTTCTCTCCTCCTTGTTCCTCTCTTCTGCTGCTTGTTCCTGGGTGAGTTTAGGACTGACAAGCTGAATTACTGGCGAGCCATCCACGTGGTCAATCCGTTGCCCTCTGAATGTTGAATTCTTGTTTATCTGCTGGTCGTTGTCAGTAACAATTTGATCAGCTCCTGCTCCTTTGCTGCCTGAGTCTGTGTCCTCATCCTCTTCAACGCCAGTATTTGGTGCACACACCAAGTTGGGGTTGTCCTCAGTGTGAGAGTTGTGGTCCTTGCATCTTCCTAGACTTTGTGTGTCCTCTGGTTCTTCCACAGTGGGGAGGTTGTTGACTGAAGAACCCACAACACATCCTTCATAGAAGGTTGTCGTCTCCTGGCGACAGATGTAACCTCTGAAGGAGGTTTTGGTCTCTTGGTGAAAGGGGTGGGAAGCAGGGAGATCACCCCCTGGGAAGCTCTCTGTGGAATTTACTTTCAAATGGGGCTGCTCTGAGTCTGAGCAGTCACTGCTGGGGTTTGGGGTTGCCATGAAATTATAGTTGTATTCTGTCTCTGTCAAGTCCTGAGGCTTCAGAAGAAGAAAATGAAGAAAAGATGTTGGGGAGAAGAACAGAGTCATGTACTTAAGTAATGAAAGAAGAGTGTGTGGTCAGGCGCATGCACACACACACACCCACACACCCACACACTCTTTCCCAGTCTGCAGAGCCCTGCCCTGGTGTTTGCTCACCTGAAAGATAAGCTCTCAATCTTGAGTCCTGACAAGGAGATGTGAGAAATCCTTCAAAGTTTGAGTATCTGTGGCCAAGAGAAAACAAGTCTGTGGTCTGTGACTGGTGATCGCCATGGAAGTATCAGAACCAAGCCATAATGGGAGACAGGAAAAAGAGGAACAAGGGGCAGGAGACTGCAAGGTCTATCACTTTCCTCTAAAATATTCTGTGTGCACACCATTCAGGCTAATGAGCACTTCTTTTGTTGGCAGAAGCATGAATGTCATGGGAGTCGCTTCCCTCTTTTATTGTGGAGTCTAAGATGATCCATGTATCAGGGAGTTCACAGCCTCTTTGAGGAGATACAAATCAAGTGACTGAAAGAAACCAGGGTGTACTAGCAGCAGAAGAGCTTACAAATGATATCATGAGAGGGCTTAGAAAGGCACCTCTTGCAGGCAGGCTGGGAGTGGGTAGGAGACCAGGAGTAACCTCCTGGGGTGAGGCCTTAGATCAGCCAAGTTATGGAGGAAGTAGAAGGGAGGCAGGCATGGTGGCACAAGCCTATAATCTCAGCTTTTGAGGGGATGAGAAAGGATGGTAAGTTCAGGGCTGCCTAGACCATGTAGGGAGACCTGGGCTGAAAACAAAACCAAAGACCACAAAAGAGAAGAGGTAGTAGGCATGTGGGGGAACCCTTTTTTGTGTCCATTAATTTCAGGCCCCGTCTGTCATTATATTTCTGTATGTCAGACCTATGGATGTAAGTTCAGACATACAGTATGTTGGAGACTTAGGATAGTCCGTGCCAAATTGCTTTCCAGAAAGCTTATATCCATTTACATGGTCATCATCCTACCAGCTAATGGCATACATAGCCCACCTTTTCCCATGATGCTGTAGCTATTAAATGGGTGTGGGAGAGCATGCGGGCACCCCCCCCCCCCAGACTGCAGTGACCTGCCCTGGTGGCTGCCTACCTGATAGATAATCTCTAAAAGTCTTCAGTCCTAAACAGGTGAACTGAGAAATGCTTCAGGGTTTTGAGTCTCTGTGGCCAAGAGAACACATAAGAGTGTATTCTATGACTGTTGGTTACCACAGCAACATCAGAACCCAGTTATAATGGAAGATGGGAGAGAGGAAAAAGGGTTAGAAGACTGCAGTATCTATCCTCATGTTTCCAAATCAGTCTGTGCCCAGAGATGCAGGATAAAGACTATTTCTTCTGTTGGCAGAAGCATGGCTTCCTTTTGTTGTGGAGTCTAAGACAATCTATGTCCTGGCAAATTTAGAGTTTCTTTGAAGAGCTACCAATCAAGGGACTTTTACAGGATAGGGTGTAAGTGTAGCAGAATTCACAAACAATGTCATGAGAGGATGTAGATGGGGACTTCATGGAGCCATGGAGAGAAAAGCAGGACTAACCTGGGAGACAGAGGCCTTCCAAAGTGAAACCTTATGGAGGAAGTAGTAGAGATGCAGACACAGGGCCACACACCTATGATTTCACAACTTGGGAGGCTGAGGAGGGAGGATTGTGAGTTCCAGGCCAACCTGGTCTACACAGAAAGACCTGGTCTCAAGGGAAAACAACAGAGGTTGTGGGGATATAGGAAAAATAGAACTCCCAACCTGTTAGATATCAGATGTCCTGAGTTTGTGTCCCCAAAATTGAAGAATTAATTTCAAGGAACAGTAGAGGTTAAGAATAAGAAAGGTTTATTGAGAGATAGGAGGGTCTCAAGTGGGTGGCCATTTAGACCCTTTGTCATGGAAAATTTAGACAGCAGAGTCACAATGTGGGTTCAACATGGGTCAAACTGTAATCAACCTATATGATTGCAAGTATAGCTGCTTAGCTAATATTGATCTAATAGGGAAACAAGTCACGTAGAAAGGGTACATGGAAAGAACAAAGGCGCTGGATGTAGTGGTGCCCGCTTGTAATCCCAGTACTAGGGAGGCTGAGGAGGAAGATCACTGTGAGTTCGAGGCAAGTCTGGGCTACATAGTGAGTTTAGGGCTAGCCTGAACTACAAAGTGAGACCCTGCCTGAAAAAGCCAAAAAACCAACCAACCAACCAAACAAACAAACAAATTGCTAAAAGGAAAAAAAAAGACCAAAGGTATATTTGGGGAGGGATGGGTCAGATGCTCTGGTCACCCACCCGGGAAACTGATACCTATGTGGACTCACTGGATGAAGTGATGCTAATTACAGAATAATTCCAAGGTACTGTTTATGCCTTAGAGAGGCATGCAGGCCTGGACATTGCATCTCTGTCTTGAAACCTGGCCTTTTTCAGAGGTTCCTCCATCCACAATTTTGATGTCTTTATTTTTCACTGACTTTCTTGAGAGCCCTGTCCCTCTCAGCCTGTATATTTATTTCCACCTAACTTAGCTTCCTGTGATAAAGGGATGTGGGGGAGGGTACAGTTTAAGCAAGAATGCTCAGGTAAGAAACCTGGTGTGTGGGGCAATCAGGTGCAGTGAGGTATGTGGGGTCAGTGAGGGCCCGGTAGGCCTCTCTCCGCCTGTGCTGAGGAACATGGATTTTTGCCACTCATCCAGCAAGGAGGGTGACATTCATGTGTCGAGCATCCTTACAGACAGTTCAGAATACACTGAAATGTTTCACATGATTGAAAACCCCAAGTCCAATTTCCTTAAGTGCATGGACCTTGCTGCTTGGCTCCAATGAGTGTGGGGTCCGTGGGTTTGTAGCAGAGGAACCAGGCTGCACTGGGTGGAAGAAGGATTTAGGGGAGAAAGGACAGTGCATTGGCTGGACCTTGGAACTTTGAGGGTGAGAAAGTACAAAGGGCAAGACTGTCATGGGGAAGTTCCTGTACTCATCCTTTAGGGTTCCAGCTCTCACCTCATGGTTCTCCTTCCTGGGGTAACTTTGAACCACATCCAATGTGGATTATCATACAGATCAAGGACAAAGTTCAGTTTTGCCACAGAGGCAGGCATCAGGCCCTTGGTGGCCGAGATGGTTCTCGTGTGTCTGCTGTTCCAGTGCCTCCCTCGTCCACTGCTTTCATTTTGCTTATAATCTCTGCCTGAAATCCCCCTTCCAGGAGCTCCTTCTATGACTCCTCTTTCCTCTTAGTGCTCCACGCCATCCATTTTTCTTTCAGGATCCTGGGGACCAGACCCCGTGCAGTTTCCAGGCCAGGTTTGTGCTCTCACAGAGATGTTTTCTTCCTGTTTGGCTCAGGTAGAATCTTTCTGATTTCTGCCAATATCTAGGGGTTCCCCTCCATATGTCCTTTCCCAGAGTCTTTTCATAAATGTCTCTGGAGGCTGCCTCACTCCCTTCAGCTGTTTTCCTGTGTCTTTCCGAATTATTTCCCTCACTATTTGAGTGAACAATTTACTTCTCTGCTCTGCACCTGACTGTTGCTTAACAGGTTGCAACAAACATTCCCGCCCTTACACACAGCCGTGGCAGTGTGTATCGGTGAAAACCTTAGCTAAGCAATTTGGCATAATTTCCCTAAGTCCTTATAATTCTGTACCGTAGATCCTTTGGCTCAGTAATCTCACTGCTGAGGAGGTATCCTGAGCAAATAGATGCGCTGCAAAGTGTAAGCAAGCATACTCATTACTGTATTATTATACCAGTGAAGAGTTAGAAATGAGCAGCTTGTCAGCAGTGGGAAGAGAGTAAAAGACATATCAAATTCAAAAATCAAAAGCAGTCTATCAGACCCTTTTTTTGGTACCAGGGATCGAACTCGGGTCCTTGAGCTTGCAAGGCAGGTGACAGAACCACTGAGCTAAATCCCTGGCCCAGACCCTTTCTTTCTTTCTTTTTTTTTTTCTTCTGGTACTGGGCTTGAACTTGGGTCTTTGCACTTGGGAGGCAAGCTGTGGAACCACTGAGCTAAATCCCCAGCCTTATCAGACTCAACAGTGATTGTGTCTAGGTATTTCTGTGGTTATCTCTGTTTTTCCCTATAGTACCAATGACTTTCTTTTTTTCTTTTACCAATTCTGGTTTTATAAATTGCTTATGACATAATAACAAAGAGGTGAAAATGGAGATTTCCATCCCCCTAGGGCAGGCATTGTGCTTTTCTCTCTAGGGGTATATGCACTTAGGAATCATTTACAGGCTCAGACATGAGGAATGTCCTCAGGGACAGCCACACACAGACCTTCCTTATGCACTTAGGTACAATCCTAAGAGCTTGCTTTGAATTCCTTCCGATGCATGGCTAGTTTGGAAGAGAATGAGTTAATGCCAAACTCCCTGAAAATGAAATTGGTGTGGTATCAGAGGAGATGTAGTTGCAGATCCTGTGTGAAATCCTTCTTGTTGTCATCTTTGTCTTTTCAGTCTGAGGAAGTGGGTCTCACACCCACAGCGCTGAGTGATGAGATGTATGCAGGTGAAGACTGTGGAGAAGGAGCAGCAGCTGCCTGAGAAGGGCAATGGCTTCCTCCAAATCTCCATGTGATTGAAGGTGCAGTGACCAAGTCAGGGCTGAGCGTGGGGACTGTCTGGTGACTTCCCCAGGCCAACCTCGCCGATCAGGAGGCTCTCCCATAGGAGGGTCCTGGTGGCCTTCTTCCCCACCACTCATCTGATCGTGGTCTCATGAGTGTTTACTGAAGTTGGCCTGACAAGACTCCAAGGAAGCCTCTGATCATAAACCTGGTGGATAGCAGACACATGTAAGTCATGCAGACGCTAATCTCACCTTGAAAGAACTGTTCGTTTCATGATCATTAGTGTTGCCATTGTCTTTATTTGTAAAGAGACAGCTATTTCAGCCACTTCCTACAGTAGAGGGGTAGAAATATAAGCATACTTAGATTTAGTAACAAAATCAAAATGTGGAAGCCTCTCGGCTGATTGTTAGTCTGCTTTGAATAGAAAAAAAACCCTTTTTTAATGTAAAAGATTTGCCAGAACACTGAACACTGCATAAGCCATAAAAAGCTATTATGAGAATAGAGATGTTTCAAAATGCGCTGACACTTTATGGAAGTCGTGGTCTATACATTTGAAAACTGCAGCGGCAGTTATTCATGTAAGCGATACGTACTCATAGACTCGGGACTCCTTCAGGTGCAAGGTAGGCATTGATGCTTCCTCACCTCCACCTCAGAGTTCAAGGCCCACAAGCTGGGAATCACTGTCATAGACCTGGACCACAGATTCATTGTGATTCGGTGGAAAGTGTGTTTGTGTGTACTGATAGGCACTTTTTCAGAGTAACAGGTAATGGGCAAAGGACATGGACATAATTGTTGCAGAAAATGAAATAAAGCTGAGTTGTATCCCTACAGGCAGAGATACTCACCTGCATTTATAAGGAGAGATGAAAACTAGATGAGATACCAGTGTAATTTACATATCAAGTTGGGAAAAAACCAGGAACTTTAATAATATGTGGTTTTAGAGAGTGTGGGAAAACAGGCAGTGTGATCATTTTTTCCTAGGAATGGAAATTGATTTTACCTCTGTAAAGCATGACTTTGTAAAGTCTATCAAAATTTAGAATATACATATCTATTAACCTAGCAAGTCAATTTTTTAGATTTATCCAATAGATATACTTTTCCTATACACAACATACAGGAGTGTGAAGGTATTCATTGCAGCATTATTTGTAGCAGGGCTTGTTTGGAAACAGTGTACATATCATCTGTTTAAGAAAGAATGGATTAGGGCCTGAGGATTTAGCTCAGTGGTTTCACCACCTGCTGCACAAGCGCAAGGACCCAAGTTTGATCCCTGGTACAAAAAAAAAAGAAAAAGAAAGGACGGATTAGCTGAGCGTGGTGGTGCATGCCTGTAATTCTAGTACTTGGGAGGCTGAGGCAGGAGGATCCCTGTGCATTTGATACCAGCCTGGGCTACATAGTAAGTTTGAGGCCAGCCTGGACTACATGGCGAGACCCTGTCTCAAACAAACAAATGAAGGAAAGAAAGAACTGATTAGATGGGAGGATATAGTTTAGTGGTGGAGCACTTGCCTATCATAAATGAGATCCTGAGTTAGAGAACTGGTTGTGAAATTATAGTAAAACTCCATTATAGAGTCATTTCAGAAATGTAGAAGTTTTATATATGCTAATAGGAAATGGACTCCAAAATATGTCATTAAAAACCAAATCTAAATTACACATTGCACTCAGTAAAAAGTAAGTAAATTAAAAAATAAAATAAATTACAGTACAGTATGTATAACTATCCTTCCATTTATATTTTAAAAGGTACATATATGTGTATTAATATGCATATGCATACATATGTATATACAAATATGTCTGCTTATTTATCACAGAAACTGGAAAAACACAGAGTATACTAACAAAGATTGTGGACCTGAGATCAAGAGGTCTGCATAGTCTTACTCTTCTCTGAGTATTATTTTGAACCATTGGTTCTTTTTCTCTAATTTTTTAAAAAGGTACTTACTTATCTGTTTTTTTTGTTTTTTTAAGGCAGGGTCTCCCTTTGTAGTTCAGGCTGGCCCTGAACTCACTATGTAACCCAGGCTGGCCTTGAACTCGAGGTGATCCTCCTGCCTCAGCCTCCTGAGTGATTTACATGTTTATTTAGTACACACATCTATCCATGCATATGCACACAATTGCAATGTCTTAGAATCTCATTGTTCAACAAAATTTATCCAGCCCTCTATCTGTGTGCTGTTCACTGTGTGGCATTATTCACACTGCAGGGATGCAGCAGGACAGAAGGTGCCTCTTGGGGCTGGAAAGATCCTAGGGTCCTTGCTTTAGAAATACATAGAGTAGACCTCCATTCTGGCCAGAGGCATAATGACAGACTCTGCATTGTGTGGCTTGCAGTTTGCTAAGGGAGGTTACCCAAAGGCCCTACAACTTGGACAGATTATATGATAAAGACAACCTTTTCTCTGAATACCCTCCAACTTACTTACTGACTTCCTTCACAATGTGCACACTAAAAAATGAGTGAGACAGTAAGGTGTCACAGTGAGAGAAAACATGGCCCTCACATTTCACATCTCAACAGACTAAGAAAACGCCTGGCCCGGGCATAGCATAGTGGCACACGCCTGTAATCCCAGGACTCAGAGGCTGAGGCAGGAGGATTGTCATGAGTTCGAGGCCACCCTGGGCTACATAGTAAATTCAAGGACAGCCTGAACTACATAGTGAGACCCTGTCTCAAAAAAAAAAAAAAAAAAAAAAAAATCTCCCAAAACAAAAAATGCCTGCAGATTTCCTCCTAATAGGTATGGGACTTCCAAGCTTGATGCTTTGAGGAAAGCAGGGGAGGGCTTTTTTCCACAGTATGGTGCTGTGATACAGGAAGGGCTTTCTAGCTTTCACCTGCCATGAAGTGTTTATTTTGTGTTCTTTTTGTCCTTGAGCTTTTATGAATAACTGACATTTTCACCTTGTGTCAAATTGATGTATGAAATTCACTCCCTGCTTGCAGACTGGCTTCCAGTAGAGTTCAGGTATGTACCCCAGTTCAGTCTCTAAGGTATCACCCTTCTGCTCCAGGGGGCTCTGGTGGCTGCATGCCGTCACTGGCTTGTGGCTTTGAAAGTCCTGTCTCTGCCTTCGTCCTCAGGTGGCCTTCTCTCACTGGACCTTCTCCTCTGAGTCCCATTAGGATATTTCATACTGGACCTAGGATCCACCCAGGTAATCAAAGATGACCTTTTCTCAAGGTCCTTGATTTAATTACAGCTGTGGACTCTTTTTCCAAATAAGGTACCATTCCCAGCATCCCAATGTTAGGACGTGGGCAGATCACTTTGTGGCTGCCACATGGCCTGATGTACCTACCAACTTGGAAGTCACTGAAAGGAAGTGTCCTGGAGGACTCAGTACTTGTCTTGATTCAGCTCCATTCTGGCCTGAGAATGAAGAGAACTAATGCACTTGCCAGCAAAGAGTTGTGTGGGTAATTATGCCTACTGAGTTGGCCAATACTTACGCAAATACTTTATTAAAAAATAAGAATCTTGTTTGTTCTCCTTATTCCAAAAATTTCTCTTTCCAGATTAAAAATAGCTTTGCTCAATCACAGGAATTTTAAGAGAAACTTATTCAGGGAGAAATGAATTATTTCATTATATAGTTTCTAAAAAAGAGAAGTGTTGAAGGATTCTTGTCAATTTTTGCATGTATACAATTGAAATGTCAGAAATGACTAGAATGTTCTTTTAGAACAAGACCAAGAATAAAGAAATTGTGTGGGTCACATGCATAGAATAGGTTGTTTCTCCCACACTCTGCTAGGAAAAGAAAATTAAATAAAAGAAGAACCAAAATGAAGCACACAGGAAGAGCAGGCAAGAAGCTGATGTGGGGAGTGGAAGGGATCATAGTATGTTACAAGCACGTACACATCTGTCAAAATAAAACCCATTGTCTGGGGCCGGGGATTTAGTTCAGTGGTTCCGGCGCCTGCCTCAAAAGTGAGAGGTCCCGAGTTCGATCCCCGGTACCAAAAAAAAACAACCAAAAAAACCCCCCATTGTCTGTATAACCAGTGTGCCCCACTAAGATGTGGGAGGAAGACCAAAACAAATTAAAAAGTAAAAATTATGTTCTCTTAAATCTTAAAAATTAAAGAATTATACAACATACTCCCGACATACATTTTAACATTTTTAACATTCATCACATTCATATTATATTTATGTGTGAAGTAGATGGAATTTTCTGAAACAATTTTAAGCGTAGATGAAAGGCAGCTTAACACTTCACCCTTGTTTGCTTCAGAAAATATCTATAAAAATGAAGGCTTTTTCTACATATCTAAAATATTGTCATCACATCTAGAGGTATTAGTAGTAATTCCATAATATACTATCCTTAATTCTGTTAATATTTTAACTCCCTTGATTGTAGTTTAAATGTTTTCTAGTGCTATGTGCCTTAGAGCAGTATCCAATCTACATCAATGCCATGCATTTATTTGTGATATCTCTTGAGACTGCCTTTCCACCATGTTGTCTTTTTTATGACCTTGAGATTTTGAAGAGACCAGAAGTCATCTTACTTGGATAGAGTTTTGGAGTCCATGACTCCAAATGAGGAATTCTGTTACTTGTCAACAATGAAAAGATCTCTACGTGTGAACACTGGTGTTGTCGATGTTCCAGCCCCAGCCTTCTGTAGTCTGAACAGAAGGGCATGTGTGCTTTCATTAGAAGGTGCCAGCTGCAGAGGGGGCATCGTGCTTGCTCCAAGAGAAGGGGTGATGGGTAGTGTCTTAGTTATTTTCTTGTTGCTGGGACAAAATAACTGACACCTACAAGTTGAAGGTAGAAAGGTTTATTTTAGATCACAGTTTGTAGAGGTTTCAGTCCATAGTCTGCTGGCTTCAAGGCAGGGTGGCATGGCAGAATACAATGGCAGAGAAGAAACAGTCCATGGCAGAGTAGGCAGAAGGCAGCAGCAAGCTTTCCATTCCCTTTATATTCCTTCCAGGCTATAAGACTAATGGTTGGTGCCACCCACACCCAGGGTTGGCTTTCCTCTTCAGTAATTCCATCAACCACAACTATACTAAACCAATCAGTGGTCTAATTAAGTTATCACACACCCATAATCAATCCAGTATTACACACCAATGATCTGGCCACCTCCCAAAAACCCCACCTCTGAGGGCATGAGGTTTTGGAGGGATATCTAGATATAAACTATAATACTTTGCCCCTGGGCCCCAAAAGACTCATGTACATTTCTTTATACAAAATACATTTAGGTCATTTCTAAGAGTTGCCAAATTCCTAACAGTTTCAGCATTGCTTAAAAAAATCCAAGTCCAAAGTCTCCTCTGAGATTTAAGGCAAGTCTCTGTAGCTGCAAGTCTCTGTATAGGTGAAAAGAAAGTTAAACACTTCCAACATACAATGGCACAAGATAAACATTTCCATTCCAAAAGGTTCAAATAGGGGATAGAAAGGAATGGGACCAAAGGAAGACCAAACTCTAGCAGGGCAAACATTCATGTCTAGCATCTGGGGCAATCCATGATGAGATGTGGACTCCGAAGGGTTTGGATGACTATGCCACTACAGCACTATTGGTGGTTGTAGCTCTCATGGCTTTTCTCTTAGGCTGGCTTTGCTTATTCCTTATGGCTCTCCTCAGATGATCCACACCCCTGGCTTCTCCAGCCTTCTAGGGTCTGCACATTTGGCTTTACAGTCATAGCTTCATACGATGCCCTCTTGGGCACATTGCCTGAGCTCCCAGTCCTTCTGAAGTCATGCATTCTGCATACATCTAAAATCAGCACCATGTGGATGATGCCAACGTCTGCTGCAAGCTGGAGCAATAGCCGGGCTTCCTTCTCTCGTGGTTGTAGAGGTTGAGTGCCTGGATTGTTGAGCACTGTGAACCCAATCTGAGGAACGAGTTCTCTAGGTCACCACTATTCTGGAACATGGTGTCCTGGGACTTTCTTCTTAAAGCAAAGTCTTTCATCTTTGCAATTTTGAGGCTGCAAATGATAGAACCCTGATAGATCCTGTGATGTTCTCAGGCCAACTTTTCTGTTGTTCAGTTCCAATATACTTGTGTTATAGGGCCAGGCAAGTTGGAGCTGTAGAGATGTGCCACACTCTGAATCAAATTGAGTCTTTTATTATTGAGATAAACCAGTGATTGAGAGTGCCTCACACCGGAAAAACTCTTAATAAAGGAAAAGCAGCTTGTGGGGTCCTTTTAAGCAGCTCTTCTAATTGAGGAGGGATCAAGGGGGTATGCAAGAGGAATTTCACAGGAGCAGAATTATGCTAAATTAGTGGGGCATCAGGGGAAGTTTCATATAGTTTAATTGAAACAAAATATCACACCTGTGTAGGGTATCCTATTTACAAGGTTATAAAGATAACATAGTTGCAGATTGCTCTACCAAAAGGTCACAAAGATAACACATAGTTGCAGACTCACACAGGATGCAGCTGTCTGTTATGCATTAACTGAGGGTACTCCCATGGGAGAAGGGGAAGGTGACTACCTGGAATCACTCAATTTTATACAAATGGAGTCAGGTTGGCCATCACACTTGCCTTTTTAATTCCAGTCATTTTAGCAACCAAGGTCTCTGTTTCATCTTTGTAGTCTGCAACTTTACTGGAGTTTCTTTTCTGACCACATAAAACTTTAAAAATAATTCTGCTGGGCCATTTGCTCTTGATTCTCAAGGTAGAGATTGCTAAAAGTGCCCATTAGTAGCCATACCACTGCCTCATCATTAGACTGCCTGGATTTCTTCCACCAGATTAATTATTCCACTGCCCTTAATCTCACTCTCCTAAAATGTCTCTGCACACTGGAAAAACATAGGCAAATTTTCTGCCAGAACATAGCACACATGGTCTGGAGTCTACCTACCAGTACAGTCCTTATCCCCAACTGAAACCTCCTGAACCTGATTTTAACTGGTGGCATTTCTATCACCTTTTTGATCTTCTGAAATCTCCCATCAAGCTTGGGTGACAGCATTCTAGGACTGCTTCTTCAGCTGGCATCTCCAAAACTTTCCACAGTCTGCCCAAAAGCCAGTTTTAAAGACTTCTGAACCACATGGTTAGGTAGCATATAGCAACAACCCCACTTCTCTGGTACCAAAATCTGTCTTCAGTAAATCTATTCAGCCATACCCAGAACTATGCTAAACCAACTAGGGGACTAATTCAGTTATCACACCCATAATCCAGCATCACATATTGGTGATGCAGCCACTTAACAAAAGCCCCACCTATGAGCACATGAGGCTTTGCAAGGGGGAATCTACTTATAAGCTATAACAGCATTAAAGGAAGCACCATGTGTTGGGATAACCCTTTTGCTCTGCTGTGCTTCCTTCATCATCATCATCATCATCATCATTATTATTATTATTTTTGTACTGGGGATCGCACTTGGTACCTTGTGCTTGCATGGCAGATGCCAGAACCACTGAGCTAAATCCCCAGCCTTTCCTTTATTATCTTAATTAGGATAGGCTGGAGCTGGAGGCTGAGGATGACCAGGACCTACAGAAAGAAAAAGAGGAGCAAGCAGCAGAGCCTTCTGGCAGCTGAGCAGGTCAGGACCTGCAGAATGAGCTGGATGGACAAGAAGCATCTTCTTTTTTTCTTTTTTTTTGGTACCAGAGATCGAACTTGGGACCTTGTGCTTGTGAGGCAGGTGCTGGAAAGGAAGCATCTTTTGTGTGAAGACCCTCAAGCATTCACATTGTTACAGTTTTGAGACAGGAGCATCCCTGAACTGTAAACTTTGTCACATGCAAGAGGGAGTATTTGGTAGTGAGGGGTTGTAGGGAACAGGGAAAGGGGACCTCTGCATCAGGTCCTAGTCTCCTGGGAGCCACAACAGCACAAGGTGAATTAATTAATATATAGATAGAAATGAGACTTAAGAGAAGAAGCTGAGCTTTGGCCTGGGCAGCAAAGACCCCAGACCCGGAGCTTGCTACACCTTTACATCAGAAGAAACGAAAGTAGCAGATGACTCAGAGCGCAACTGTGATAATCCTAGATCAATGAGGAACTATGCAGATGAAGATTTGGTTCCTCCCAGGAAGTCTCCAGCTGGTGTAATCCTGCCCTGGAGCATCACAGCATCACCGGACCATTGAGGTGTATCTGTGGTAAGAGGTGAGAACAGAGTTTTGTCTCAAAATGCTGTAGCTGGCCTGTAGGCAGGAAAACGAGGCCCTAATCATGATTTACTTATGAAATGATTTTCCCCCCAAATTACGTAGAATTTCTCCTGACAAGGGATAGAGGGGAGAATGAAATTTAGCAAAGTGTTTCGGGAAAACCTAGAAGACTGAAAAATCCACACAGGTCTTGAACCATGAAGAACTGATGTGTTCCAGCAAAATTGCTGAGCGAGGGCATTTTTAGTGATGTAGGCAGAGCCCCTGGGTTCTTGTCATAAATCTTCCTGTTGAGGGCCGGGGATTTAGTTCAGTGGTTTCGCCACTCGCTGTGCAAGCACA